CCCGTAAGAAAATTCAGATTTTTCATCAGCTTCCAACACGTCATCTTCTTTGCCTCAGAAGAATAACTTAGTGCTTCTTCCTACTCCAGGGACCTGCTGTAACTTGTAACTACCATCTCTTGCTAATTTTAAGAGTGGTGATATTGTGGACTTTAAGATAGTTTAACTGACTTTTCTTCTGATGCATACCACACCAATGTAAGCATAGATTCTGCCTCTTCTCCTTTACCTTTTTTTCTCTGTGTCCACCTTTAATAGAGCAACTTGTTCTTAAAAAGCTACGTATAGACCCTATCAAGTTTATATTCCGAAGTGGTGGCAATGATTTAAGAAGCCGGTACGTGTGCAACAGCTGATAAGGACTTTAACACCCTCCTTGTGAGGCTTCATCTCCATCAGAATTCAAGATTCAATGGGCTAAGAAGAGCAGGACCTCACTGCTAAATGGCTAAGACACTCAACTTAGGTGTATGCAGGGATTACTCTACCCATATCTACCATGCAATATCCCTTCAACAGAAGTAAGGAAGCTTCAGCGGGATGGAACAGTGCAGGTGTAAGTCACTCTCCAGTCACGCTTTTGGCAGAGTCATAGGAAGGGAAAGAACTTGAAATAAAATTCGGGATGTTCGTGCTCCAAGTCATTTAACAACTAAACTACACAGAAGCTAGGCAAGTGCCTGGCCCATCTCCTCCTGGGTTGTTTAGAGAATACAACCGAACGGACCACGTTTTGAACAAATGTGAGGAAAAAACACCTGTGGCCCTCGGTACTGTATCAGGTCCGAGTCCCTGCACTCAGATTGACTACACAGATTATTGCTCAGCAGATTTGCCTTTTCAGACCTACTCCAAAGCATACGCTTTTCTTCACTTATTACTGTGCTCAAAGCAGCAAGTCTCTAGTACTTGTGTCTGTAATCAAATCTACCTTAAGATCACAGAGTTATCCATGGATTCTTCAAATTACAATTTTACAGAGTATAATAAATAATAATTTAACTGAAGTGGTACACAAACACTGTAACTCATTACTTCAAAAAAGTAACACTGAATGCATATCCTGAAATGGAACTGTTACAACAATTTGGGCAACAAGATTACAGACAATAGGACAAGTTATTACTGAAGCTGTTGGTGGCAATATTAAACAGAAATAATAAAGTATAGCTGTGGATATTGAAGACTCACAGGTTTGTGACACACTGGCCTTTATTTCCTAATTTTTATTTCAGGTTCACAAGCCCTTTACTGCCTTGTTAGTAGGCTACTGTGGAAACCAGTAGAGACTCACAGGCTCCTAGTAATTCTCGTTAAAAGCCTAAAAACGTATATGCTGTAATTAAACTTTCTCATCATTTTCACTCATGTCATTCTTTCCACTCACGTAAGAAAACCCAAGCTAATTGGTTAAATGCCTGCCAGCACTGTAATACCTGGGTGGCATCTACAAACAGTGAAATACAGTTTTAAAATAAATCTTATTGATTATCCACATTTTATTGACAATATCCTAATGAGACATGCACTACATGTTATACACTTCGAGCTACGAAAAATTTCGATTGTTGTTCTAGGAAAGGAATCACAAGTAGCAATTTCTTTTTCCACCCATCAGACACCAACAGTTACATTTTTACGAGTTTCTGGCTAAAGTTAAGTTTAAAGCAGTTTGGGCAACTTGGCACTCTTGATACCGAAAACCCAATGCTTTGAACCTTTCATGAACCAAAAAAAGGTCACTGTAACCTCTACAGTTGACAGTGTAAAAATCATACCAAAATCATACCTATAGCGTCAAAATCATACCAATAACTTGAAATAAAGTTAATTATTTCTTGTTTACAAAACACCAACACTGCAGTCCAACAGTGAACATGCCAATGTCGACCATTTCACTAGATGTTTAGTGTAGCGAAAGAGAAGTTAAGGCAGGATTTGTTGGAAAAATATCGACAGTCCACACTGTACCTCCATTCCTTACGCTCAGTCCACTATGACCCCAGAAAGCTGTTCAACATGTAGCTCTGCTGCAAAAGAGTCTGTTCTTCAACCTCAAGAACTGTGATGCCATTTGGCTATTCCTTTTTCTCATAAAAATGAGACAGATGTCTTCAGAACTGTAACTATTTTATGTTACAATTATGGTAATTGCTATAAAGTTATTTATACAATAAAAGAATGTCAAGGTAACTTCACAGGGTATATGTCAGTAAGATCAAAATTAGTAAGAATTGATTGTTTATAGCTGTGTTTACTGTCTGACCATTTCATCACCCAGGAATTAGACTGTGAAATTCTTTTTACTGAAATAATTGCTTCATAACACACAATAAAAAAACCTGGAAGTACTGAAGGTTTTTTACTAAGGCGAATCTGTACCTTAAAAAGCAATTCTGAAGTTAATTAGCTTTGGAAATTTTCAAGAGGCTTATTAGGTCATCACTCCACCACTAGGACAACCATCTAGAACTCTGAAAAGTTAAGAACTTGGCTATACTCTGTTAAAGAGGCTCCTGCACCAAAGCATTAGCAACATACAAAAAAAAAAAAAAAAATCAAGGACAATACTCAAATGTCAGTCTTTCATCAATACAGCTTTCTGTATCATGTCTTAATTAGAACAAGAAGCAGTTCAATACCATCTTTTTTTGTGAGACAGAAGTTGAAAATTTCTCTGTAAAAGAAAATAACATCCTAGCAGATGCCAGCATAGACATTCAACATCTTCATTAAACACTTTTTAACTCCAGTTGGTGTCACTTATGAGCAAATTGCCTTGAAAAAGTTTGTGCATTACATACCCTGAAGGGCATCTTCAAGCATAGTAAGATGGCCCAAACTATCATCCACAGTGAATGAGTGCATAGCAGACAATTATTTTGAAAGAATCTAGAAGAAAGCGTGCCAAAACATTTCTTTAAGCACCATCTAAAAAGATGCACAAAAAAAAAAAAAAATCTTTCTTTGTCCATCTATGCTATTTTGGCCTAATATTGTTGAAGTACCTCTAACAATTCAGAACATTCATATAACTTAAAACACCATACAAGAAAAACCACTGCATATGCCTCAGTATCAAAAAAGGAGTATTTTAAGTGCTAAATTCAAGATGAGAACCAAAAAGGCTAATTTTAACTCTTCCTAATTGACATCACAAGGACAAACTATTGTATTTGTTCAAGGTGAAGATTATTTTACTGTTTTGGATTAGGTGCATTTTGCTGTGTAATTTTGGTTTCTGGTAGCTTTGGCAAGAAGAAACAGTGAAAACATATTCACGTTTACACAGGCACAGTCAGTCTTTGCTTTCTCTCTGTTGTATTCACGTGTCAATGAATCCTGCTAAAAATATTATTGCCAAAAAGATGTTCTGACATTAGAAGCAGAGGTTCTTAACACTGACAGGACTACCCTAGTGTGCCAAAGGACAGTCAGCACTTAAAGAGTTCAAGTGTTCTTTATCACCTAGAAAGGAACTAGTTATTTCACACCTAACAGAACTAATCAACCATAGTTTACTATGGATCCCTATGGTACATCCATATATTGCTCCACCAAAACATCCCTAGCTTTGCTCCCACCACAGCATTTCACCATCCTTCCATGGCAGTACTTCTGCTTGCTGTCCAAATGATACAAATTCTTCTTACCACATCCCAGTGTTCACAGTCCAGCTATGAGGTGTGCAAAAAGCACCATGTGCTGGCTCTAAATTCTATTTGACAGAAGATGTGGCCTTAGTTTCCACTGAAACCTTCATTTCTGCGCATCAGTATTATGTTGCTTCCTCTCCAGCGATCCATCTCTATCCATGAGATATAACTTCATGGAGTAACATATTTCAGAAAAGCCAAAGACAGCTAAACACAGTAAGTTGTTACCTGCTCATCTCTTTGTCTCCACTCCTGCCAATTTTCTTCCTTATAGTCCTTCTGCACTGCAGTGTGTGGTTTTTGTTCATGCTGAGATAGACAGCCTCCATGTGAGGATTTCTGAGGAATCTTTTTAAAAGCTAGGCCTCTGAGCTGAAAGAACAGTTATTTTTAACAGTAATCAAAACGTTGACAAGTACACAGAAACAGTCTTGATGGACTAACAAAGGCATTCAGATACATGTGCAAATAGACATGCATGTGCTTTACCTTACTCTGTAGTCAGAGATACATTTTTGTTTAATTGTTTAAGGTACACATCATAATGGAAAATTATGGAAAACTGTGGATCAGAACCACCGCAGTCACATAACATAAACCAATGAAAACATAAATCTATTTTGTCACCTGGAAACACTTTCAACAAATTCGAAGAGGTAACTGTCTGACAGATTTCATGCTGCATCAGGCATGGTGGTGTGCTCACACCTGATCCAAACTGAATATAATGCCAAAGAAAAGGTAGTATACACAGATTTGGCATCAGCAAACAGAGGAACTAGAGGTTCAAGTCGAAAAAGAACAACTTAGACAGTCCTTACAGTTTGTCAACAATCTAAAGTTGGTCAAATTTAAGAACCTGCAATAAGAATTATTTTTAATCGCTGCACCAGACAGATACAACGCCACCATAAAAATACATTACATAATTATAAAATTTGATAGTGAACAAGTAACCTGCAAATTTGGCAGCTCAAAGATATTCATTGCTCAAGCTTAAAAATTAACTGACAGGCTTGTGCTTAATTGAAGCAAAAATATAGGCACCAATACGATCTACTATCAATTTAGAGACAGGGATTTCCTTAACATAAATGCTCCTGGAAGGGAGAAAGAAGCTATTATCAGATGAAAGACGAAACAAAGACAAATAAAGTACAACAACAGTGTTCTCCTTGACATGTTATAGTGTCATGACTCCTTAAAATTACAGAATCATAGAACGGTTTGGGATAGATGAGACCTTAAAGACGATCTAGTTCCAACCCCCCTGCCATGGGCAGGGACACCTTCCACTACACCAGGTTGCTCAAAGCCTCATCCAACCTGGCCTTGGACACTTCCAGGAATGCAGCACCCACAACTTCCCTGGGAAACCTGTTGCAGTGCTTCACCACCCTGAGCGTGAAGAATTTTCTCCTGAGATCTGATCTAAATCTACCCTCTTTCATTTTACAACCGTCACTATTTGTCCTATCACTACACTCCCTGATACAGAATCTCTTTCTTATAGGCCCCTTTAGGTACTGAAAGGCCACAATAAGGTCTCCCCAGAGGCTTCTCTTCTCCCAGCTGGACAACCCCAACTCTCTCAGCTTGTCCTCATACGAGAGTGCCTCCAGCCCTCAGATCATCTTCATGACCCTCCTCTGGACTTGCTCCAGCAGCTCCATGTCCTTCTTATGTTGGGAGCTCCAGAGATGAACACAGTATTCCAGATGGGGTCTCAGGAGAGCAGAGTAGAGGGGCAGAATCACCTCCCTCAACCTGCTGGCCACGCTTCTTTGGATGAGGCCCAGGACACAGTTGGCTTTCTGGGCTGCCAGTGCACATTGCCGGCTCATGTTGAGCTTCTCATCCACCAGCAATCCCAAGTCCTTTTCCTCAGGGCTGCTCTCAATCCATTCTCCGCCCAGCCTGTACTTGTGCATGGGATTGCCCCGACCCATGTGCAGGACCTTGCACTTGGCCTTGTTGAACTTCATGAGGTTCTCACAGGCCCATCTCTCCAGCCTGTCAAGGTCCCTCTGGATGGCATCCCTTCCCTCCAGCGTGTCCATAACACCACACAACTTGGTGTCATCTGCAAACTTGCTGAGGGTGCACTCGATCCCACTGTCCATGTTGCTGACGAAGCTGGTTAATATTCAAGGATCACCTCCTCCAAGCTCAGGAGCGGTGCATCCCAACAAAGAGAAAGTCAGGTAGGAACACCACGAGGCCTGCATGGATGAACAAGGAGCTCCTGGACAAACTCAGACACAAAAAGAAGGCCTACAGGGGGTGGAAGCAAGGACAGGTAGCCTGGGAACAATACAGAGTGATTGTCCGAGCACCCAGAGATCAGGTTAGGAAAGCTAAAGCCCTGATAGAGTTATATCCGCCCAGGGACATCAAGGGCAACAAGAAAAACTTCTATAGGCATGTCAGTGATAAAAAGAGGTCTAGGGAAGATGTAGGCCCTCTCCGGAAGGAAACAGGGACCTGGCTACCCGGGATATGGAGAAGGCTGAGGTACTCAATGACTTCTTTGCCTCAGTCTTCACTGGCAAGAGCTCCAGCGGCACAGCCCAAGTCACAGAAAGCAAAGGCAGGGACTGGGAGAATGAAGAACCTCCCACTGTAGGAGAAGATCAGGTCTGAGACCATCTAAAGAACCTGAAGGTGGACAAGTCCGCGGGACCAGACGAGGTGCATCCGTGGGTCCTGAGGGAACTGGCAGATGAAGTTGCTAAGCCACTATCCATCATATTTCAGAAGTCGTGGCAGTCTGCTGAAGTTCTCACTGACTGGAAAAGGGGAAACATAGCCCCCATTTTTCAAAAGGGAAAAAAAGACGACCCACGGAACTACAAGCCAGTCAGTCTCACCTCTGTGCCTGGCAAGATCATGGAGCAGATCCTCCTGGCGA